GTTCATATATTGTTGAAAACATATTTTTTGTCTGCTAAACATGCATTATCAACGTTTAATTGTTATCAGGTTTCCTGTTGACTATCAAGTTTCTATTTCTATATTTGTTCAGTCATATCGTGGACGTTATGTGAAATTTCTCGTCGATTAAATGGTGTTGTTTTTCAAAAATGCCGTTTGTGTGTGAATTATTTGTGATGGTAGTGATGTGTGCTTTTGAAGAATCCTGTATGAAAATGGGAGTATGGCGGTTTTTGTATTATCTGAATTGTCTTCTCACTATTTTCATTCATTATTCAGATTTTCATCGAATCTAAGCCTGCTAAGGTGAAAAAAGCTAAAGGTAAATGCTTTATAACCACATTTTTTTTTATATACTGGGCTGTATTGGAATAAGCGTGAAAATTTCGAACCTCGAGACGTTTATACTGTCGAATGACATATAGGTGAGGCGAGACCAATTTTACACCTATATAGTTTCACTCTGTAACAATCCTATAACGTTCCATCTACATGAATTTTTCTGTGCTGAGTTCGATTGTTTAGATTGTTTTGATGTTTTCCTGTTTTTGCTCAATTTTCGGGATGCAATTTCCTGTTGATTTGAGGAATTTGAAGATATCTGATATAAGAATGTTATATATCGATGTGCTGAATACATATTATTATTTAAAAAACACCTCGTATAGTTGAAACATATATTTCTGCAGTTATGACCAAGTAACCGTTTCACGATCTATCAGGTCACGTGACTGATGTTCCTGATGAGGATTTTGATGAGAATTGGCCTACGATATATAGGATTTCTATATGACAGAATTATTTTAGGTCTGATCGGGTATGCTTTCATATTAGATCACCCGAAAAATGATACCCATTTCGCTTCCAGCGGATTACATCCCATCGCACTAAACGCTATCCCCTTGTTCCTCTGACTCTTAAATTACCAGTTTTGGTAGAGAGTTTTTCGACATATTTCATGAACCAACCAGAATACCTCCTATGGTGAAACACTGAGCTGTAATATGAGTTTTAGGTGTAAATAGTTGTTCGATATATTCCAAGGTGGACGGTGAAAGGGTGTTCTTTTCTATGATTTCGATTCCTAAGTACTTTTAAAATTGGCATTATCTACGACTATGTATTGGCCCTCAAAGCGTAGATTCTTATGTCCAAGTGTCCATCTGCCGTCAACATATTTCGGTCCATAAGCATTATCATAATCTGCACAGTGATATTTATCTAATGCTTGCTCTGATGAATGTGGTTTAGACTCCATGATGTGAACGCTATGGTGTCTGATATACCTCTGAATACATCTGAATACCTCTGAAGACCTCTGAATACCTCTGAAGACATCTGAATACCTCTGAAGACATCTGAAGACATCTGAAGGCGTGATCTGAAGACCTCCGAATACCTCTGAATACTTCTATAGGTGTGACCGGAAGACTTCTGACGTCATCTGCCATACGTCAGCTATCTGTTTGCTAAGTCCATCTGAAGTGCGGTGGTCTACTCATGAGTTCTCCTTTATCAAACACCCTGTATATCGACCCTGTTATTGAACGAGTTTTGTTATGCACATTCGAAGAAGTACCTAGATCTAGGGAAAAATCTAATCTGCTTCACATAGGCTCTGATGGCCCGCAAATTGTAACATCCGTAGAATCTAGGGAAAAATTTATGAGAAATATTTCTGAATTTAATGTAAATTTTCCTACAAGATTTGTTATTGATTTCTGTATGTATCTCCGCCGATTTTGACTCAACAATCGCGTTTTATGCTTTATTGTATGGCATTAAAGGTGATTATAGCGGTATTGGTATACCCTTAAACCACCCGCCCATAACCCCTAACGTCCCTAACCCTTACGAGTTTCGACTGTTGTTTCATGAAAGGATGAGCTGTCTGGGCTTACATCTAATCATCGTATGTCAAATATTCAGCATTATGAGTGAAAGTGTAGGTTATTCACATATCTTGATTTGATTTTGACTAGAATCTTATAGGACATTGTATATTATTCGCCAGTTGAACATCGAAAAGCCCTCGAAGTCTTTTTCCGTGTTTTGTTCAAGAGTTGTTCGACATTTTTGTTTAATATATGCTAGGCATGCCTATAGTAGATAGTTTTTGCAGCGAGTTTCTATTTTCTCATTATCGCCCTATGTGTTTCAATAGCCTTTTTGATTAAAATTGGTAGGTTGTCTCGACTGTGAGTGTTTCTGCCAACAAGCACTGGAAGGTCACGTGATATACGTCATCTGTCAAACATCATACGTATCATCATTTCAGCGCCATTTTGAACTGGTAGCCATTTTGACGGCCTCTGCTCTTGCCGAGCGCGTCACGTGATATCCATCAACGTAAATTGAGCGTTTAGTTTCAATGAGCACCGGAAGGTCACATGTCATCTATCATATGCTATCTGCCATCTGTCATACGTTGGCTGTAATCTATTAAAACTGTGATATATAATTCATGAGACGCCCTGTATATATTTCTTTCAACTCAAACATCCTGTATATTAAATTATTAGGTAGCGGTACTTACAGGTCATCTAGTCACGTCGTGTCATCAATCCTTTGTTAACTGTCAAATGTAATACGTCAGCTGTCTAATCCCGCAAAAGTGGGTGAGGCGTCCAGTATATTTTTTTTTTCTTTAATTGCTATCCAACTCAAACGCCCTGTATATATCATGTTATAGCGGGTAGCCTTTATATGTAGGTCGGAGAGGTATAACGCCTTTTGGGTTCACCCTATATTTTTTTTCCCAACTATTAGCCAACTCATACACCCTGTATATAGCCGTTGACGCCCTGTATATATCATGTTATAGCGGGTAGCCTTTATATGTAGGTAGTCTACTCTTCGGAGAGGTTTAACGCCTTTTGGGTTCACCCTATATTTTTTTCCCAACTATTACCCAACTCAAGTACCCTGTATATAGCCGTTGACGCCCTGTATATATCATGTTATAGCGGGTAGCCTTTTATATGTAGGTCGGAGAGGTATAACGCCTTTTTTGGGTTCACCCTATATTTTTTTTTCCCAACTATTACCCAACTCAAACACCCTGTATATAACCGTTGTTGAAAAATGGAATAAAATGCGCGCCGTTATCTCTAGAACGGATCTATCGCAGTCCAACCGATGATGACGACCCGTTCGCTGGGCCGCGAGTAGCTAGCCGAGTCAGGCCGGCCTGTGATTGGTCGGCCGAGTCACGTGGTTTGGAGAAAAGTGGAGGGGAGGGGCTGGACTGGAGAGGCGGACTACCTACTCACGACGAACATTGAATTATATCTATTGAACACACACGTTAGGAATTTGAAAACATATTCTTCTGGAGTAAAAAAATTGCATTCTCCTTCATACAAACAACAACAGAAAACAACTACTTTCCTGGATATTTGCCACGTCGAACATTGAATTATGTTGAATATCCAAAAAGAGAGCATGAAAAATGAAAATCCCCTGAAATTGAGAATTGAAATAATTCCTTAAATCGGATGAAATTATATGATGTATTATGATAAAAAAATATAACTTACCTATACGTTCAGTATTGAAATGAAAATTGAAATGTATAGGAGAAATATACTTGTATGAACTCTGATGTATCAGTGATGTTGGAATTATATCTCTATATATACACTGATAAAAAGGATTCCTTGGATTGAAGGAATTTGACTTTACCTCAAGGGCGCCAAGCATTTGAATAGGGCGGAATGCAAGGACATTTCGACCCAATATTCCAAAAACTTTGAGGCAAACGCCTAAGTTTCTTTAGCATGAAATTATATAAATTCGAGGCAAGAAACTTTGGTTTTGCCCTAATAACTAATGCTTTTGGCTTAAAATCGTAGTTTTCCCAACTTATGGGGAATGTTGAGGTAATTGCCATGATTTCTTTAGCCCAATGATATATGAGTTTATAGCAAAATACCCTGAACTTATCATAATGAACAATGATTTCTGGTCAAAATCATTAAGATATCATTTCAAAGTTATGAGATGTGAGATGAAAGATATGGTATTATTGTATTGAAATATAGGGCTTCGCTGTAAATACAGCAAATGTTTGATCCAATATCTTATGGTCTTGGAAAAAAATGTATATGATCTTGATGCAAATTCTCTGGAGATTCCTTGAGAGGATACTCCTGTGAAAAGTTGAAATAATAATTAGAATTTCAATTGATTTCTATGAAAATTTTGAGGATCATGTTATTATGAATCCTTAACAAAACCCCATTATTGGTTTGTTGATATTAGATTTAGTTCTGATGTTCTGACGGAAAACGTTTTGCATTGGTTGGAATATACTTGCAAATTAAAAATTTTCCATCAACTTGTTTCAGCTTCTTATTTATCTTTGGGCGAAGAATTGTGGAAATCTCGAATAAACAACCATTGATAAAAAACTATGTAGATTATGAGGCACATATAATCACAGTTCACAGTAAGTACAAAACTAGTTATTTCTAACTCAGACTAGTCCTTAGGTATGGGTTTAGGTACATATACCAGCAAAGCATAAGTCTTATAAAAGGAACATAACTTACATCATCTACCTTAACGACTTCTAATATCAAATGATCTTTGATCAACAAAACACAAATAAGAATATCTTTCTCAAAATCGTAAAGTTACAAATCTAAAAACAAATCAACTTGCAATTTATTGCTCAGCAATGACGGTTAATAAAACATTTTGTTACAATAACAGCAGAATTATTTAGAATAATTCTTTGAATATAAAAATAAAAGAACAACTTTTTCTCAGAATGACTAACTTCAAATCCAGCTTCGAAATAGTAATATTCAAAAAGGAGAGGATCACATACACAAAACTGTAGATTTTTTGAAAGCTAGCAGCTATCAATAAATTTAGCTTTCAGATAATCCAACAAAAATATTAAATCAAGGAACTTTGATTCTAAAAATTTGAACAGGAAGGTGATACCTACTTGAATCCAATCCAAATGGTATATGCAGGTTTCGAATTCTTATCAGTTTTCAGAAATTAATTTCTCATTTTGTTGTATAGATAGCCATTATTCCACTGGGAGCATAATGAATATTATGAAAATATTTATGTTCTAGAGAGTTGAGAGGATGTACTTCTAATACTACTTGACTTCCCCGAGCTATCACATAACACTGTAAATGGCTAGAGAAGCCAACCGTATTTATATCAAATATCACAAAATAATAGTTATTCTCATCCAAGACAATATACTGTATGATGCCAAATCGGGGAACCATATCAGGTGTAGAAAGTTGCAATGCAAAGCCAACTCTATAGTGAATATTTTCAACACAAATCCATTGAACCTCTTTTGCGTTTTCTGTGAATGGATAGGAAATACCAAGAAGCAAGCTTTTACTCATTGAACGACGTAGACCATGGTTTGAAGGTAAAGTCAGACCCTTTTTGCTTAAAATTCGCCCTGACACCCTTAATTGCTGCTTTATTGATAAAGTCAATAATAAATTCCCCCTACAGGTAACAGAATTTGCTGTATTTTTCAAAAGTTCATGAAAAGATTCGTATCTCATCGACCAGAAATATCTAGGTGGCCCAAGCAATGTTATAATTAACGGATAGTGAAGAAGAAAATAATATTTTGGTCTCAAATGTTCTTGAAATAATACTGATGTTAATTCGTGATGTTCCTCTATCAAACTTTGTGAATACATGATTGATAATTTTGTAAAAGATCTTGCTAGCAAATTTTCTAAAATATGTGTAGTGAGAGAATACAATTTCCAAACATTATCGTCTTCAGGCACAAGATCCCCTACAAGTATACCAAAGTAAAGTATAAGAGACATCATCTCAGATGCACTTATGATGATAATTTTTTTCTTCATATGTTCCTGTTTAATTTGAGGCATAGCACTTCCTGCGTCTGCTTTCGAAAACTCAAGAAATTTTATTTTGTCATTAAGTCGGTCCAAAGTAAAATATTTGGATTTAATTAAATAATTAATAATAAAAGCCATATCGTAACGAAGAACTCCCAAAAGCATATCATGCATCAGGTCACAAGAAAAGTTTTGAATTACATTGAAACTTTCTAGTTCGTTCCATACAGCAAATTCTTTGAAGCCGTGTGAACAATTTTGACAATCTGAATCATAATTTTCTTGGGAGCGAATAACAAAATTCGATACCTTCCAATCAGTCTGCATTTTTACTTTAGGTGCAATACAAATCCGACAAAAAAAATCAGAATTGAAACTTTCGGTGAATCCCAAGACTGAATTTGAACCCAAATTGTCCCCCAAAATAGCTAACAAACAAAAATAAACTTTAGTCGGTAGAATAAAAAAGCTGAGCCAAGAAAATGTTTTCTAAAAGAGACGAAAATTCTGGTGGAAGGCAAGCTAAATAAAATGTAATTTGCCCCTATCTTATAAATCCCTGCTCTAGATCCCAAAACATTCAATGGCTCAAAATCGTCGAAAAATAAAAAAAATGGTAGGGCTATTTTATCAACATATTTTTCCTGAATTTTTTTCCAGAGATCTCCTTGCAAACAGCTGGTAAAAGTATCGGGTGAAGCGGTTTCTTCTTCAAGCATAAAATTATTGATAGTTTCAAAAACTTTAGGCAACTCCAAAAATTGCTTGAATGTTGTTTTGATACATATTTTTTGACTAGATACTTTTTTTAAAGATGGCAAAGCATCCCCCGGTGTATTAGTATCGAGAAGGACCATTTTATTTCCCACAGTAAAAGATTTGGGTTTGATCAACAATTTATGTTTCTCTAAAAGTTTGAATCTCATATATTCAGTTCGCATTTGTCCAAAATCATTTGTTATGTTCTCGAATGATTTCTTGAAAAAAACTTCCAGCTGTGAAATATCCCTAATTTCTTTTGATGAAAGCATCAAAAATGAAAAAATGCTCTCGGTCAGTTCATGCGTGTACTTGACAACTTCCTGTACAATACCCCTATTAATGGCTGGATTATTGTACAGTTGGGACACAAATTTCATAAATAATGGAAAAAAATTACATTTGACTGCATTGTTCGTATTTAAATCTAGGATATCTGGGGTATCCAATTCAGGGGTATCAAATTGATTTTCTATGGGAAGTTCAAAATTAAATGTACTTTCTTCTTTATTTATATTTTGGTTTGCGTTATTAGCTTCAACAACACCTTCGAAATGTTTTCCTACCAAGTGCTTTCGAAGACCGTTGAGGTCCCTAAAGGAACGAGAACAATTGTCTTGTTTGCATTTATATTGGGATAAATAAGGATAGTTCCCTTTGAGATGTTCAACTAATTTTTTTGATGATGAAAATTTGTGATTGCACCTAAAGCACAAGAAGCCAGAACTTCGTTCCATGTTAAAAAAAAAGAGGTTGAAGAATTTTGAATGAATATTTCCTTATTTGACCTATTTGTGAATTATATCTCCCACAAATGGAATTTTGGGGTCTTTTTTATTTTGGTACTTATAAATGTTCCACTGTATTAGGTACCAGATATGCTTGGATGGAAAGGATATTGAGCATCCAAAATTTGATATAGTTTGTAGCAAAAGTCTAAGGCTTCCAATATATTGAGGCACTCAAAGGTAGAAATCAGCAGTGTTTCACAAATTCAAAACGAATATATATTTTCACATCTGTTTAATTCAAATCAATAACAACATTCAGACTTCCTATTATATGTTATCATCCATATGTACTATTTTTTCACTTTTTCTAATTTCTTCCTTTGTTGTTCCTATATGTTGAATTGTAGAGGTATTCGAGGGTTAAGTAGTAGAGCAATTCAGTGGACGGAGTCATCTAGAAACTGAGTTGAACTCCGCCGTTTGCTTCTGAAAATTATTATCCACCCATACTTTATATATCATTTTCTATTCAGAAGTAATAAAGACGTTTATTATTATTATTATTATTGATTACTACGAACACAGAAGTTACATTACTCAATTTTGCACCTACAAGAAGTAGGTAGGGTTGGACAGTAAGTCCTTTACTATACATACAGTCTATTCTCTTTTTTTTTGCCTCTTCAATGTCCCCTGCACTAGGTACGTGGAGAATAATACTATCCCTACATTCAGTTACAGATGGCTTCCAGTGAGTCTTGCCTGCATAGGTCCTACCCTTAGGAGGTACAAGAGCCGGAAGTAGGTATAACTTGATTGCAGTCTTCAAGTCTAGAACAATTGAGATATATCAAATTGGAGAAGATCACATTTTATTTAGACTGAGGATTCCATAAAACGTTCCATTTCAAATTTCATGAACTAGTTTTTCTACACTCAACACTTTTTTAATTTGAAACATTGACAATAAAAATGGTATGTCTGTTGAGATGTTTTATCGGATTGATTGATCGGAATTTTATAACCAAATAAAAAATGAAACAAATATTTATTTACCTCTTGTAATTTCTGAGTCCAGTAATTCCAATAAATTTTTGTCAGCTGCTGATAGCAAGTTTTGCCTTTTTTCCAGAGTTTCTTCAAAAAACTTGTCAAACTCGGCCTCTAATTGGAATTCTTCAGGGATTTGATATCTCTTTTCAAAATCTATCTGAATCTGAAAAAAGAATTACATTCAAATTAGTTTTCCATAAAGATTCTGGCCCAGAACAAAAAAAAGGGATATGGGGGATCATTGAACAAACTGAAGACTGTATTGTAATGAACATGGGGTAATACTTAGTAGGTTTTTTGACTGTTTTGGTCCAGAATAATGATAAAAAAATAGTGATAACTAGAACTACTCCAAGACTGAGCAATTAAAATGGACAGAGAGATTATTGAATGTTGATTAGTTCAAAATATTCTTCATTAACTTACCAATTCTGGAGCTAGTGGAGTTTTCAATATTGGCCAGGCCTCTAAGAATTCTTCTATCTCTGCATAGCCAGAGATTGCTCTTACAGGAAAAGACTTTTTCCAGTGCACTAACACATCATCCATTGGCTCTTGATTGTCTTTAAGCCAAATATGGCTATCTTTGGCATCTTGAGTAACTTATGAAAAAATATTTAAAGTTAAGGTATTATTATCTTGGGTATCATTTAGGGTTTTCAGTGCGCACAAGATTAAACAGTGATGATTATTAAAATAAAATACTATATAATATGAAGCAGAAAGTGCAAAAAATTCAATTAAAAAATTAGAGGTGAAGAAGAGTTGCTTTTTCCATTTTTTTTCAGAGATTTCAATAAATACAATAGATTTCTTTGTTTATCAATTAGCTTTCCTTTGGCTTTTTCAGAAATATGTTGATTTGATTCGCCTTTTCTTATGGCCGGTACGAAGTATGTGTAGTGAAATTCCCTTGGAAATACTTTCTCGATTATTTTTGATAGAATTTCTAATTCTGAGAAGTCGAGTTTTCCATATTTATTGAGGAAATATCGGATTATTATATCAGTTAGCCTGTCTCGATCCACCGCAGAAAGGCCACTTCTCAGGCCTTTCACCAAAAGTGCTTCTCCTAAGATGTCTTTCTTTAAAAATCCTTCCAAATCAAAATTCTTAATTTGAGGTCTAGAACATCTGTCTTCTATGGGATGGATACTATAGATAGTACTGCTGCTTGAGGCAGTCACTGTAGTATTTTGTGTCGTCATCTATAGTGTTGATCTCAAATGTAATACTTCTGTTGTCATCAACAGCTGTAGTATCCGTAACGTCAACAATTTCCACTTCTTTTGCAAGATTCTCTTCCACGACGACATCGACATCAGGTTGTTCAGCAACTATTACTAATGGCAATGGCGTATTATAATCCACTTCGACCTTTTGTTTTCTAGAAGGTGGTGGCTGAAAAAATATCAAAGCTCATGTCGTGTATACTGGGTGTTTCCGAAATTGGTGCGATCAATGAAGTGTATGAAGATGAAAAAACGAAACGAAATGGAAGAAAACATTATTGTGAAAATTCATTTATTTTGGGACTTTGAATTTCGTTGAGTTTTTGCCAGGAATATTTGTATAAATCATCAGAGGTTAACAGCCCAACCCAAGCGTTTGCTTGACTTTCACAATGTTGCCAGACGTTCAATAATAGTTCAAAAATGTGGTAAGTATATGGTGAGAGGCGACTGATGAGAGCAAATACTTTTCGAGAGAATTTGAAAATAAAACTTGTTGCGCCCTATTGATTCACTATGTCTACCTACCTACCCATTTCATCAATCACTCGAATTTCGGAAAGACCCTATTGTAAGTGAGTAATAATTTTTGAATGTTTCTTGATAGAATTTTCTTCTCAATTTAACTTTTTTTTCCATATCAGGTATTTTCAGTGTTTTGACAGATATAATACAATATTCTGCGACATATAGTCGGAAAAGTAGTTGTTTTCTCGCTTTGTATATAATGTCGATATGAAAAAAGTAGATAATTTTTCACACTGATTTTTTCAAAATTCATATAAAGTGGCGAAAGCAAATTCATTACATAGAATACAAAACATTTTTTTCCCACTTACTTCATTTTCATCATTCTTCAAGAAGTTTATCAGCCTTTGTAATTTTATTTTGTCTCCAATATCCTGGCTCAAATCGTTTATTCGTTCTGCTGAAAGATATAGCAATATATCTGCTCCATCTATATTTTGTTCCTTAAAAAAATCAAAATGTGGGTCAGTTTGGTCTGGTTTTGTTCAGTTCGCCTTTGGTTATGTTGGTTTCAGCTGACTGCAGTAAATACCTATAGTAAAAACTCAAAATCCTGCTTTCAATTTTTACATGGTTGGCAGCTATATCAGCTGGAACCGAGTCAAGCCAGTCCTCTTCCTCTCTCAGTACTGACATGGTACTGGCCGAGTTGTCAAATACACTATATTTCTCGTCCGGTTTTTATTTGAAGCAATTCGAGTTTTTCAAACCTACATTCCTATATATGTTAGGAATCATGCACAACTTCAACTCAATATTTTAGTTTCAGTCATGATAAATGATTAGGTCCTTTAGTTTCATGGATTTTCAGTTCAATTGCTATATTGGTCTGAAGTTATTGAGTAATATCTTGAGTATAAAAAAATAATGTTGAGAAACCTATAAGCTCAAAACCAGCAAACTCTGCAACAAAAGAAAAGTATTGATTTTCGAATTCTTGATGCAATTCAGCTCAATGAATACATTCTCACTATCAAACCTTCGCGAGTTTGATAAAAAGGCCGGGAATTTTGTTCAAAACCGCGCAACCTTGACACAAGAGAACCGATTTTGTCATGCGAGCGTACTATCGGGTCGATTCTGTTTGAGAATAGCAATATTGTTATGTGAAGATATTGCTATGATAGCAATGTAAACAACCAGATCTTGAAAAGTGTTATTCTGGTTCATAATATTTAGCAATGTTTACCTATCAGTGTTGAAAAATCTTGTTATTAATCTTGCTATCCCTGCAAGATCATTTTTGGACTTGCCTTGAACTCTTATCCTAACAGTAAGGTGGAAAATGGCTGGAAAT